AGAGAGAGAGAGAGAGAGAGAGAGAGAGAGAGAGAGAGAGAGAGAGAGAGAGAGAGAGAGAGAGAGAGAGAGAGAGAGAGAGAGAGAGTGTGGAGTATAGGTTTGCTAAAGATCTATCTCATGACCATCAGTTACAGATGTTTCACATTCCTAACTGACATTACACTTTTTTTATTTAGTTTTGTGGAATAACTCTAAATACTACAGTATCTATTAGCCAAGTTCAAAACAGCGATTTCCAAAATGTCTCCCTTGTTCCCTCATTCACTACTCATTTACTTCATTGTGAGCAGTAAACAAAGATCCAATGCAACTTTTAATCATCAACACTTTGCATCATCACTGAAGGGTCACATTGCTTTGTGGGACTACTAGCACAAAGCACAAGTGTTTGTTGTGCACTTTATTTTATATTCTTTTATATTCTATTGTAAATTGTAATATGTTTCTATTTCTTGCACTGTGTTGATTGTTGTTGATTGTTTAATGTTATGCACCACCCGCCATGACAAATTCCTTGTAGGTGCAAACTTCCTTGGCAATAAACAGTTCTGATTCTGATTCTGATATACATGGACCCTACTTTTCTGAATTTTTTCATTTTTTTTCATTTTCACTTTCAGTCTGGATACTCAATTAGAACGACACAATGGACAATGCAGTTAATGGGAGTGATTTCTCTAACATGGCAAATAACTCAAAAAGCCAGTCAAAGGTGTGAATCAGGGTGGTAGTGAATTCAAAACACAGCACATTAGTTACTGAATTCATCCCACATTGACACAGACTCCCGAAGTAAATTCATTTGAACAGCAGATTGTAAAATCGTTTTTCTCCACACTAATATTTGGCTCCCATTCGCCGCTGGCAGTGCATGTAACAGCATTTTAAGCTCTGTAATTAGATATTTCTTGCCAAAATGCACCTTGGGAGTTGAAGTTAACTTTTCACTTCATGTTTTTATGTGCACAGGCTTGTACCTTTCACTTTTTTTTTTATCAAAGAGCCAGATATTTTCTAATGCAGTTCATCTTTTGTACCGATGATTCACCCACGAGAGATTAATGCCTATTTGGTCATGTAACATTGTCAACGGGAGAAATTAATGGGACGTGAAATAACTTCTCTCACTTCATAACTCTGTGAACATGACTCGTAGCGTTCTGGCATATTCAGAACACTTTGTCACTGTAATCAGAGAGGAAACATGTATAGCTATAGCTGCTGTACGGTTTCTCAGTATATCCCACAGCCGGACCCCTGGTCATGGAATAACAGCAGCGGCTTCCTGAAAGTCTTAATGTAAAGTCAGCTCAAGTCAATTTTGTTTATATAGAAAATATATTTGCCCAAGAGGGTTTTAATGTTAGCCAGTGAGCGTGGCTGGTCCAGCTGGTGTGTGGATGTTGATGCTGGAGACCTTGATTTCATTTGTAGACCTTATCGGCAGCTGCTATACCACTCCATGTCTTCTCTGCCATTGCAGCCTTAATGAGTTGATCCAACTCTGATCCAAATCTCTAAGTCCTTTTAAAGTAATGTGGTAATGTATGTAGGTCATTGCAATATAGATAACTGAGTATAGAAAAAAAAATTGCGTGTGTCCTGTCAGATGTCATGTGACTTGGCAGTGCTGACAGGATAACAGATGGACACAGTCATGCTACACGCGCACACACACGCACTGTACACTGGACACACACACACATATGTCCTCCTGCCTCTCTCCTCTCCTCTTACTCATTACTTCATCACTCTCCCTGTGAGCGTTTGATGCTTCTCACTCTGCATCCGGTGTCATTCAGGCCTCGCTCCAGTCCGTCCGTCTGTCCGTCCACCTGCCTGTCTCACAGTAAATGAGTTTCATGGTCATTGCTCGTTGTGGATCAGCTCTGTATTCATTGCTGCGGTGTTGGATCACCGTTGTCTTACATCTGGAGAGGTTTCCCTGATTCCCTAATCCCTAATGTCTTGGAGAAAAAAAAACAGACTTTGTCATAACATGGATTTTTGAATGAGCTGTTTTTAGCTGCACAAAAATTCAGGTGCTGTTTTTAGAAGTTTTTCCTCTAGTTTATATAAGCTATATTTAACATTAGTGATCACCATTCATTCTCTTCTTTGATTTCTTTTTCTTGTTCTTCTTCCTTAGTTTACCTTAGGATGAAGACTCCCCTCAGCCCCTCTCAGCTCCTGGAGCGGGGGCAAATATTTGCCTTTGGAGGGATGTGTCAAGAGCTGATGGACCCCCCAACACCTACAACCATCAGTCTCTCTGTCCAGCAGAATCCATCCCCAGGTGATTGACATGTTCCAGCACCAATGCTCGGTATTATCTGCTGTTTCCAATCCATACTTTTCTGCTACAGTTTGAATCATCCTTGTTGTTTTCTCCTACAGTTTGAGTCTTCCTTGTTGTTTTCTCCCAGGTCAGGGCGGAGCTTACTCACTGTGTGAGGTGTGTAACCTGCAGCTGACTTCTTCTGCTCAGGCCCAGCTGCACTACAATGGCAGGTCTCACCTCCGGAGAGTGAGACAGCTCCAGGCTAGAGAGACAGGACAACAGGCAGGTACACTACAACCACTACTGTCATGTGATTGTAGTAGTAGAAGTATATGCATGAGTAGTTTTTTAACAATCAGGTTTTGAGGCAATAATAAACAATATTAAAATGACTGCTGACTGCGACTGTCAGATTTGAGAACCCAACCCAAGATCTGAAGCTGTGCTTTATTTCAACTATTGCCTATCATTACCTTGCTTGGCTAAAACATGAGCTACACTACACCTCACTTCCTTTTTCCACTGGGCAATGTCTTTCTTCTTACCACATATGACATGCATAGATACTGCTGATTGGCACAGTAATTTATTTGGTTTGGTTATTTTAAACCATTTTGAATCTGACCTGATCCTGAAGACTTATATTCATCTCACATAATAGTTTATAACAAGCAGCGGTAGTAGTTATAGTAGCTGCAGTTTAGTAGCTGTAGCAGTAGTAGTAGCACAATAGTAGCAAGGTGACTGCAGTAGTAATAGCAGAATCACTTGTAGGAGTAGTCATGGCAGTAGTAGTAGTAGTAGTGGTAGCTGCAGCAATGGTATGAGCAGGAACTGTAATATTAGTAGCAGCAGCAGTAGCAGTATCAGCAGTAGTCGTTGTATTGGCAGCAGTAGTTACAGTAGTAGCAGCAGTAGTTTATTATTGTCAGTTCCTTGTATAAAATAATGGGTCTTGATGTCTTTGATTCCAGGAGGGGCTCAGTCGAGGTCTCTTCCCCAGGCCACAGGGCTCAGCTACCAGCCTACAGGACTAACTCCGACCCCAGGCCTCAGTCCAGGCCTCAGCGCTCCACCTAGCACAACTGCAGGTAGAACCAGTGCTTCTTCTTCTACTACTACTGGTGTACTGCGCTGACAATCATCAAACATTTTGTGTCACCCCCCCCCCCAATTGAATACACCACAAAGACTACAGCTGACATGTATTAAATGCTTTACCTGCATGAGAGGAAACAAGTAGTCTGACTGTCTGTCTGCTGAGTGAGAGTTGCTTTGGCTCATTCATCAACAGCTGCTGCCATCTGGGAGAGGTCAGAGAGTGGCGGTGGTGTGTGTATGTTGGTTCTCAGTTGGACCCCTGAAAGAATGAACTGACCCTGCATTAACTCAGATCATCACTGCAGTTTTATCTCTGTATGGGTATTGTTAGCTCCACTTAAACACCTGTTGACAAGCTGAAATATAATATGGTATGTGAATCTATATCTGTTGTGTTTGGAGGATGAAATGATACTCAGAGATGTTTAAAAATGACCTTGAAAGTTACACATGCCTGGCGCTTGATTATTTCTTAGCTGACACTTGGTCTACGTCACTGATCCCAGGCAAGAAATAGCCCAGCAAAATAGCCCAGAACAACCAACCCTCGTCTCAACACACTTTACACTTGAAACCATCCATCCATCCATCCATTTTCCTCCGCTTATCCGGGGTCGGGTCGCGGTTGCAACAGGCCAAGCAGGCTGACCCAGACTTCCCTCTCACCGGCAACATGTTCCAGCTCATTCTGGGGGATCCCGAGGCGTTCCCAGGCCAGCTGGGAGATGTAATCCCTCCAGCGTGTTCTGGGTCTTCCCTGGGGTCTCTTCCCAGTTGGACGTGCCTGGAAAACCTCCAGTGGGAGGCGTCCAGGAGGCATCCTAATTAGATGCCCGAACCACCTCAGCTGACTCCTTTCGACGCGAAGGAGTAGCGGCTCGACTCCAAGGTCCCTCCTGATGATCGAGCTCCTTACCCTATCTCTAAGGCTGAGCCCGGCCACCCTACAGAGGAAGCTCATTTCGGCCGCTTGTAGCCACGACCTTGTCCTTTCGGTCACGACCCAGAGTTCGTGACCATAGGTGAGGGTAGGAACGTAGACCGAGTGGTAAATTGAGAGCTTTGCCTTCCTGCTCAGCTCCCTCTTCCCCAAGAGGCTGCTTTACTGCTGCAGCCGCACCGCTCCGTCTGTCGATCTCCCGCTCCATCTTACCCTCACTCGTGAACAAGACCCCGAGATACTTGAACTCCTTCGCTTGAGGTAGGCACTCCGTCCCCACCTGGAGGGAGCAATCCAGCGGTTTCCGGCAGAGCACCATGGCCTCAGATTTGGAGGTGCTAACTCTCATCCCCGCCGCTTCACACTCGGCTGCAAACCGCCCCAGTGAATGTTGGAGGTCACGATCCGAGGAGGCTAACAGGACCACATCATCTGCAAACAGCAGAGAGGCGATCCCGAGACCCCCGAACCTGACGTTCTCCACCCCCCGGCTGCGCCTAGATATCCTGTCCATGAAAGTCACGAACAGGACCGGAGACAAAAGGCAGCCCTGGCGGAGGCCAACACCCACCGGGAACGTGTCTGACTTATTGCCGAGAATGCGGACACAGCTCCTACTGCAGTCGTACAGAGACCGGATCGCCTGTTGTAATGGGTCCGGCACCCCATACTCCTGCAGCACCCCCCACAAGAACCCCCGAGGGACCCGGTCGAAAGCCTTCTCCAAGTCCACAAAGCACATGTAGACTGGTTGGGCAAACTCCCAGAACCCCTCCAGTAGTCTTGCGAGGGTAAAGAGCTGGTCCACTGTTCCACGGCCGGGACGGAATCCGCATTGCTCCTCTTGAATCTGAGGTTCGACAAACGGTCGGAGCCTCCTTTCCAGCACCCTGAAACCCTCAGATTAAACAATATAGCGTGGCAATGTGTGCGCTTTAGAGTTGCTGGTAGGTGGATTTTGTTTCGTTTGAACGGAGTCAGGCTAGCTGTTTCCTCCTATTTCCCATCAGTAGAAGCCAATTTTTGTGCAGTTATAAAGTGTCACTGTTTCCATCTGCTTCCTGCCTTAATGGTAAGATTACTTAACTGCATAGACTGTATATAAGAAGTGGACGTAGTCGTCACCCATTGGTTTGTGGACTGACGTTGTGAAGCATCGAATTCGGCGTTTTGGCCATCGGCATCTTGGATTGCGGCCGTCGCCATGTTGGCTTTTTGCAACCAATGAATGGAAGTGACCATATTTGAACTGCGGAGGAGTGATGTAGATACACCGTATACCAGTGGCGGGCCGTGAATTTTATACCTGGGCCTTCACTGCTGTCCTTCAGCTGAAACACAGCTACGGTTATTATTTATTTCGTGTAAAAATGAAGCCAACACCTGTAGATACACTATCTGCCGAGAGTGAGTCTCCTCTTTGCTCTGACTGCAGCTGGGACTGCTGCGCGAGGCTTCTATGGGCGGCGGCGGAGGGGCTCATGGCAGCACCCGCTGCTCGTTCACGACAGTGCAGAACCTACGTGCTTTAACGTCAAAACACCAGAAAATTCTCCAATAACACCAGAACAAGTCGCTAGATTTGTCGCGAGTAGCTTTTGACAAAAAAAGTCACCATGAGGGTTTTGAAAGTCGCCAGATTTAGCGAGAATGTCGCCAAGTTGCCAACACTGGCACCGGCTAAATATGTCCCCAGAGCAACATTGGACGTAACAATGGTTCCTATCACATATTAAACCAAACAAAAATCTTCATTAAAAACAAGTTGTACAAATAATAATATATAAACAAGCATATTAAAGCTACTGCAGATGTAAAAACAAACGCATTTAACTTACCAGAGCTGCTGTTCACTATTTAAAGACAAAGTGCATCCTCCTTTCGTTGTTAATAAAGAGTTTAATCCCACGGTTGTTCAGTACATCCGTGCGTTTTAGTTCCAGTAAGAAGTCCTTCTCGATTCATGGACGCCAGTGAAGATAGTCGAGCCTCCCCAGTTGTATTTCTTGAATACGTTTTAATGTGTTTGAGGCTGAAAATGTCCGCTCGGCAGAGGCAGCAGATATTGGGATTGTCACCGCCCAACATGTCAGGCTAGCCCACTGACCAATCACGTACTTGTAGGCCAGCTAGCAGGCTCTGACACGTCAAATAATACGCCCAACATGTCAAACTAAAGATCTGATTGGTTGAAGAATATGACAATCAACAATATCGTCCCCATTCACTTAAACTGCAAAGGGCTGCATGTGAGAGTCTGCAGGCCTCGGGCCTCTGTTCTTACCTAGAGACACAGGGGTGAAATCTGATTGGATAAAAGCTCTACTTAAAACAAGCTGCACTGGAAGCAGAGAAACAGAGGAAGACAGTAGCTGTGCATTGAGAAAATAAGATAATGGGAAAAATATATTGTTAAAATAAATATTTTTATAAATTATAATACATGTAGTGTATTTAAGAAAAAATATTAAAAATAACTTTGTGATTCTGTTTAGGCCAGCAGAGAAGGCCTTGCAGGCCCTGACGGCCCACCACTGGTGTATACGGCTCTGGTAGCAGTAGCGACCTGTCAATCACAAGGTAGCCCCACCCTAAAGCACACCCAGCTTTATGGTCTATTTGACTCTAAATGGACCATAATTTACTAAATGAACATCATGCTGTATTGAAGAAGACTTAAAACTAGAGATTGAGACCATAAACTCATGTTTACAATGTTTACTGAGGGAATAAATCAAGTGAGAAGTAGAGTCATTTTCTCATAGACTTCTATACAATCAGATTTAATTTTGCAACCAGAGGAGTCACCCCCTGATGGCCATTAGATAGAGTATAAGTTTAAGACACTTCAGCATTGGCTTCCCTTTTTAGGATTGGAGGTTGCTGCCTGGTTAACTGCTAAACTGACTGCTGGTTGAAGCTTCATATTTAATGCACAGGCATGAGATGGTATCACCATTTTCCTCTAAATCTGTAATCGTATTTCTCAGAATGTCAAGATATTCTTTTAACAAAACAAGATAATATATCTTCTTATCAGTGGTTATTGGACAATGAAACACTATCCAAGTTTGTGTCTTATAGTGTTGGTTCTGATATTATGTTCTGATATTACTGTTTAGTTTAATGAGCTGCAGTATTTTCATTATTCTCATTGTTTAATCATTGCAGCAGGTTTCTAAGTGCTTCCAGCGCCCTCTGCTGCTGAAATTACAGTTGAAGCTTTTCACATTGCTTGACTCTCTTTGGTTTTGTGATCAGCTGTGAGTGGAATGGTTCCAAATGTCTTTAGCAATTCAGACCCAGTTTTTAAAGTCAAACTGCTGGTCAACAGAGTGAGCATGTGCTGTGTGATGCAAAGGAGTTAAAGTGGAGCAGACAGCAGCGGGTCATTAAACTGGGACATAGCACTGCTCCGCAACCGCACTGACATTTCTCAAAGACATCGCTTGCATTGATTCTCATCATTACACTATCTTTGGTGCTAATGTGTCTGTCTCCACAAAAATCTGTCATGATGACACCTTTTTGGGAATCACCTTATAATACAGTGTTCCAGTTTGTTGTACTTGTTTTCGTGATCTAATACACAATGCAAAACTTCTACTAGAAATCTGTCGTTTTAGCCCTGAGTGAAACTGACTTCCAGGTTAGACTAGAAAGAGACAACATCACTTGTATAGTATAGTAACATAAGATAAATAAGTTCCAAAATCCTCAAAAACAAACAAACATACGCACACACCTAATTACAGGACATAGCAGAATGATGTCAAGAGAGACAGGAAACCGATACACAATCTCACACACACCAATGCAGGTGTGTGTGCAGCAGTTGTAATTACATACTATGTCTCCATATCAGTGTACAGGCTACAATAACACTGATTAAAGATTAAATCTCTCTCTACTGGACACACACACACACATACACTCACACACACACAAACACACCACTCAGCCTGAATGGTAACGTCTTTCTCCCCCCCTCTCTCTTTCTCACTCTCGCTCTCTCTCTCTCCCGCTCTCTCTGTCCATTACGTGATGCTC